TTTTGAGTTAAAATAAACTGTTAGAATCAGAAGCTGTTTGAAATAAGTTTAACAAAACAGTCAAAAATAACTTTTTCAAAGCTAAAAGCCATAAGTTGACTCTGAAAAACTGAAACAAACACCCTCATAGTAAGGGTTTATTAGCTTAGATTACAAGAACGATAAGGTTAATTCATTGAGGTTAATAATTTATTATACTTATTAATATCGTTTTATAAATACAATGTGCCATTTTGGGAACATGGTAAAAAGTTACGTTTTTGGACAAAATGTCCAAAAACGTGGCTGCCAAAAACGCCAGAAAAGTCATTTGGCAAGTGCCAAAAACGCAGCTGTAAAATTACAAATTAGGGCCTATGAAAAAAAAAAATAATAAAATCTTTTATGTTGGATAAGGGTATTTTGGTCATTTTAATTTGATTTGACATCATAAATAAATATTAAACTAAAAAGCAAAAAGCCAGCTTTTTACCAACTTCCTAAATCACTTCAAAAAAAGTCAAAAAACTTGGTAAAAAGTCAAAAGCCAGCTTTTTACCAACTTCCTAAAACAACCTAATATATGTTTGACGTGGTCAGTTTCGGTTTAGTTTGATATACAAAACGGTTTTTTTTTTTGTTTATTTATTTATTTTTTACATCTCTATTAAAGGGCGAAAATTTTCAGGTGGTGCAACTTTTATTGTGTTTTTTTACACAAAAATAGTTACACCCCATGTATTTACAATTATTTTTTGTCATATGCACTGATTTATAATTTATTCATTTATAAATAATTTAAAAAGAGAAATAGAAATCTGGTACCATAATTCACATAACTTGTGATATTTTATATATATGTTACCCTAATTCTGTGTTTTTTTTTTCCCCTTCATTGTTTAAAGATAAAATAAGATTACGAACTTTGATTGTCAAACTTTTGATTGTTGCAGGAATAACGAATAATTTCAAATTATTGCTTAAAAAAATCTAAAACATTAGTTATGTTTTTTGTTTGAAATATTTCAAAAATTATTTGGTGAAAAAAATTAAAAATTCCCATTCCCCCCCCCCCCTTTTTTTGGGAAGGATTTAAGTTTTTTAAATTAAAAAAAATATTTCTTTTAATATTTATTTTCATCAAATTAATTTTTAATTTATTTAAGAAATAAATAAAAAATTCTGAAAACTCAATAAAGCATAGCGATGGTTTTTAGCAATAATCATGGCCTTTCATCATGATTTACAAATGGGAAATGATAATTATACTATTTTTTTTATATAGAAAATAATAATATTTACAAATGGGAAATGATAATTATACTATTTTTTTATATAGAAAATAATAATATTTGAGTGATAATTATTCTTTTTTAAGAGGTTTTTAGTTTTTTATGAAACGTGCAAAAAAACGTAAAGAAAATATGGTTACTTTATGTATTAGTTTTTGGACTTTTTAACTAATATATAGCTTATTCCCAAACACTCCTAAGAGCATCTCAATTGGACTCTTTAAACGAGTCTTGTTAGCTATGGCTAACATTATCATATATATAATTTTTTATTTTTATAATAGCTATTTTAACAAAAAAAATTTAGGACTAGCTACATTTGAAGAGCCTTGTGCAACCCCAATCATACTATCTACTTTTCACTAGCTAAAGTATGGAAAAAAAATACTATCTTTATTTTAACTATTGTGTTCTCCAACCACACTCTTTATTTTAGCTAATCATTCAAATTAACTTAATTAATTTTTAAAACAAAAAATACTAATTGCTGATATTTTACTAATGTAAATTTACAAAAATAATAAATTTGCTCATACAAGCATATAAAACCTGTAGAATGAGGAGAAAAAAAATATAAAATACAAAATAAGTTATTCTGTAATTCATCAAACAGAATTAAAAGAACATATAAAATTGTTACATACACATATACATATATAAAATATATAAAATCCCAAATCCAAGATATAAATAAGCAAAAATTCAAGACATATACATACATATTTGTTTGGAGAGCTTATAAAGCTCTTTAATTGTAGCCAATAAAAAGGTAGGATGGTAAAGTAGCTAGCTCGCCCATTGGAGTCCAAAATTAGAATTACATTGGCTAAAATGCCTAACAAACTTTTTTTAGCTATCCCCTCGGAGATGGCTCAACAAATTTAAAGCTAAATTATAACCAAAAAGTTATTTTTTTCTATTTTATCTAGCATTTTTTTGTATGTACACCTCCATCAGACCCTCTATTCTAAAATTTAATTTTATAAATATTCATTTTTATGATCTGCTGAATTATATGCAAACAACCCTACCCAAAGCAACTTCTAGAAGGTTCTAGGAAAAGTTAACCATATTACTCAAAAAAAAAAGAAAAAAAGAAAAAAATAATAATTGTGCACATCCCGTCATTCGGCCAGATGTCCGGTAATAAATAATAAAATATTATATTTCATATTCAAAAAAATAAATAAAAAAAGTGTAGCAGTTGGTCGCCTGGCAAGATGTCCAGTCACTCTTAAGAATAAATGATAAAATATCATATAACATGTGAACAATGTATCGCTACATGTAACGATTTATTGTAGTAATGCCAAATTTAATTTTGATGTAGTGATGCTGATGAAGGAGTGATTTTGCACCTTGCTAAGCAAATTTAGCCCTAAAACCATTATAGCTAGGTTGATATGGATAGTTTTAGGAGGCTCTTTAAATAGTTTGTGTATATAAATAGGTAAAATAAAAAAAGTAGCGTTATAGTATATAAATAAAAAAAATTTAGGCAAAATAAATAATTATCTCTTTTTTTTAAAAAAAAATTTATATTTTAAGTAGCAAAAAAATGAATAATAGGATTAGAATTGCTCTAATGTGGCATTTATATCTCATCAACTAATAACATTTCCCCATCTAAGAAAAAAAATAAATTGCATTTAATATTTTCCCTTAAGAGACTTCTTTCTTTCCATTGCACCAAAAAAGGAAACAAAAAAAAAATAAAAAATAATAATTGCTTGAATTTGAAGGGCCAACATAATATTACTAGTCATTGATTTTCCAAAATAACTAGAATAATCAAAATGTCCATTTTACCCTTCTCTTCCATTCAACCAAAAAACGATAAAAGAGTTCTGATTACAGATCTAGTCACAATAGAGAATGAGGCTGATGTTATCCAGAGCTTTGCTCTCAACGTGAGTAAATAACCAAAAAAAAGGTTAAAAAAAAAAATAAAAATAAAAGTTGAGCTCTTCTTATGTTGGAATTTCAATATGAGAGAATTTGAGGGGTTTATAGGGCCATCACGGGTCTTATTTCGATAATCTAAGCAGTTCATTTTGTAGGGTTCTCAAAATATATTATCCATAAAAAATTATGATTTGAGTGTAAAAAATTTGTTTGGTGAGAGTTTTGAAAAGAATTTTGAATTGAGTGGTGAATATTTGATGTGACATTTGATATTTGATACAAAAACTTATAACTCATAACCAAACATATAACTCAAATTTATTTTAAAGCACATAAAAAATTTTAAAAAATTCAGAAAATATTTTTTTCGAATATATAAAAATTAACATATCAATTGCAAAAAAAAAAAAAAAAAATATTGTTCCGGTCAACCGACTGGACGACCGGCCGGACAACCGGTTAGGCCAAATTTTGAAAAAAAAAATTGAAAAACGTGTCTGTCAAAATAGAAAATTGCGCCTTAGACAGGGTGTTTTCTGCAGAGTTTTGGAAACATCATTTGAGAACTCTAACGAAATTAGTAATTTGATAATCATAAATTTTTAATTTTATCACATTTATCTCTAAAAAATGGATCATCTATTTCAAAAATATATTTGTCGTCCATTTTTTCGAACATAAATGCGATAAAATAAAAAATTATGACTCTTGAATCGAACAAATTTTTTTGCATGAATAATATACCAGTGCCTTACAAAATGAACGGTTTAAATCGTCAACACATGACCTATGGTGGGTCTTATAGAACCTTTCAATTCTTATGTTAAGATGTCAATATGAAAAGGGTCCAGCTTGTCGCAAGTTGAGATCAAGACTGGACCCGTCAAGTTCAGCCTATGAGTTCTATTTTTGGGACCTGTTTTGATAATCCGAACCGTTAATGTGTAGAAATCGGCGAGTACTATATGTTTATAAAAAATTACGTTGATCGGATATCAATAGCTATGTGATCAAATCAGTTTTGTATAAAAAAAATGGACGGTGAAACAATTAACGGTTGATAAAAAACTGTTTTGTTCACATAGCTATCGAAATTCGATCAACGCGATTTTTTACAGGCATATAGTACTCGATGAGTTCTACACATTGAACGGTTCAGATTATCAAAACGGGACCCGTGATGAGTTTCCAAGGGTCCAACAACACAGTCCAATCCGATCTTAAACTGAACCAAACCATTGCCTATGAAAAAACCTAATCCAAAAAATATTACTGTGTCTATTAAAAGATAATATCATTATTGCACCTTTTGATAAGACAATAAACAATAAATTAAATAGTTAATACATGTTTTGAATATAGAATTTATATTTTGTTTGAGAAGTAAGATTTTTAATTAAAAATCATTAAATTATTCTTTTTATTTTTGTATATTTTATTTTTGTCAAAAAAAAACACACACACAAAAAAAAAAATTAAACAGAGAGTTGTTAGTGTAATAAATTTATTTGAGTTATGCTAGAGACCCAAATAAATTATCAATTTTTTTACCAAATCTCTCATATGGGTGTGGGACTCACACACATTTGATTTGTGTAGATCTCACACCCATGTGAGAGGTTTGATAAAAAATTTAGTAATTTATTTGGAATGTATAGTATTTTCTAATCTATTTTGGTAAAATTGGGAATCGTCCACCGCACTAATATGGCTAGCCATATTGGTGCCACGTATAAAAGAAGAAACTAGAAAAGGGGCTTCGGAGGGTAATATGGACATTTCATTGGACACGCATACAATTGCCAACTCGATTATGAAGCAAAGATTGGAAAAATGGAGTACGTTACAAAACGCTTCATGAGTTTTTATAGCAATCCTTCCCCATTGCCCTTGGCACTCTTCCTGTGGTCTCTCCCTCAGTCCTCCGATTTCCTCAATCTGCTCTTTCACAGCCCTAAAATATCTCCCAATTCTCTCTCTCTCTCTCTAAGTATTCTTACACAACGAAGTCTCTCAAAGAGCTCTCCAGTCTCTTCCTCATTCGTTGATTGTCGGATTTCTTGAAAAAGTAGGCTTCGAATCTCTCATCTCCTGTATCGTTTCCTGTATCGATACGTTGTTTATATTCAATTTCTTCAATTTTTTTTCGATTATTTTACTCAAATGTATCATCATTAAGTGAAATATGGTTGATGTTGTAAGTCTTAGTGTGTTCTCAATCATTGTGGTGGTTTATCTTACAGTCATTTAAGGAGTTTCGAGTGATTTGCTTTTAGCGGCTATTTTGTTTATTTAAAAAAAAAAAATATTTATTGAATGGATATTTGATTTGATCAACTTGTTATTGGTTGTTTGAGGGTTGTCTTTTTCATTGTTTTGAAAATTTTGATGATGATTGATGTATTTTCATATTTCGAAGTGGCTGAGATAGGATTTTCTTCGTATTCTTTGCTTTACCTTGTTTTTTTCACTTAATCTACTACTTGTTTCTGTCATTTCCATTTTTTGGTGTTTTAAGTCGTTTTTCTGGGAGAGAAATCGTCAGTGATTTTGTGTCTGGTGCGGGTGTGTATGTAGAGGGTGGACTCCTCAAACCTTCAATTTAAGGGCATGCTGACTCGGCAAAAAATGTAATTTTTTAATATTTTTAATGATTAAATGGTGTTGTGTAGTCTACAGTGTCAAAAAAGAATTTATAACAATTATACAACAATATATATATAATAACAATCTTAAATACAAATATATAAGAAGTGTCTATTGAGAAATATCCCACACATATACCATACTCTTGTCCAAGTGTTGAGTATCTAATACCGATATTTGATTTATATTGAAGAGTCTATGTAACATAGATTACAACACAACCTGATTTTTGTTTTTGAATTTTCAGTTTTAGATACATGTTCTATATGCATGTAGGTAGATATATGAGTTTTGTGTGCTTTTAGATGCATGTGCTTGTGTGTGCTTTATATATGATCTTATGTTGTTTCACTGCTGTTAGTCTAAGGCATTCCTATATCTTCTCAGAGTGAGTGTGTTTGTAAGTGTGCTCATTTTGATTTGCTGTGGTTACAGGATAGATTCATTGAAGCTTGATTCGCTTTAATTTGTTGTCGTTTCTTCTCCTAATTCCCTTGATGTCCCTTTTATTTATTCTTTGCGTCTCCGATCGTTAATGTTGTTTATTAAAAAGATTTTAGTTTGGTGATTTTTGGACTTGTTTTTGGGTCTTGTTACATTCTTTAGGAACTCACAATTTGGGCTTGGATTGCTATATATCATATATAATGGGAAATCATTTTTACATAAAAATTGAAAGAGTTTATTTGCTTATTTATTTTTTCATTGGTTTGGGATAACCTACAAAAGCCAAAAAGTAAAAAAGTTACTAAAAAAATCAAAAAGTCTATACTATTTGGGAGAAGTTTGTGGGAGAAGTCTAGTGGGCAAAATTATTATTTTGCCCTTTGAATTCAACTACCCAAAAGTCAAAAAGTCAAAAAATCAACAAGGGTAGAATGGTCATTTTGATTTTACTACAATATTTTATCACACATCTTTTCGTAAAAAAGTCAAAAAGTTATCCCAAACATAATTTTTTTTCTCTTCTTTTTTAGCCAAAAAGTCAAAAAGTGCACTTATATAACACATTCCAAACAAATGTTCGATCTGTATTCATAGTCTCTGAACTAGTTTGTGTTTGTATTTGCATGAAATTTGTGTGTTTCTGAATTAATGTACAATCTAGAGTGAAATCCTTACCCTTACTATCTTTATAGTTTCTTTTTATGTTTAAGGGTGTTTTTTGTGTGTTTCTTTTTATCTGTATTCATAGTCTCTGTACTAGTTTGTGTTTGTATTTGCATGAAATTTGTGTGTTTCTGAATTAATGTACAATCTAGAGCGAAATCCTTACCCTTACTATCTTTATAGTTTCTTTTTATGTTTAAGGGTGTTTTTTTGTTTTTGTTTTTGTTTTTGTTTTTCCCATGTTAAACTTCAATATATATATATATATATATATATTTGTGTTTCCACAGAATGGGAGCAGGGAGGAAGAAAAAGACACTCATGTTGAAGGAAGAATCTCAACCTTCTCTGTCAATGAATTGCAGTGCACCTGCTAGGAACCTGAGAAAGAGTGACCTAGGTGCAATTATTTTTGGATGCAAGCATAACACAATGAAAGAATGTTATTTCAAACAGTTGTTTGGTTAGTTCTCTGCAGTAATCAACATGCGTAGACTTTTTCTCCAATATCTAGATGTTTACTTATGTACTTTGGTTCTAAAGTCTCTTTATGTACTTCAATTTATTGAATAGGATTACCAGCTCCGCATTTTTCTTATGTGAAGAACATCAGTCCTGGCTTGACGCTCTTCTTATTCAACTATAGTGATAGAAAGCTTTATGGTATCTTCGAAGCTTCAAGCCCAGGACAAATGAATATCAATCCATATGGGTGGACTGCAGATGATTTGGAGTACACACCATATCCTGCACAGGTATGGAGCCCTGGTTACTCTCTTTCTCTTTCTGCAGCTACTTTTGGGATTGGATTCAGGATTCAATAGGTCACATATGGAAATGGCTTTTATTTACTTTTTGTATTTAAATTCAAGGTTCGAGTCCAAATCCGGATGCAGTGCAAACCCTTGCTTGAAGATCAGTTTGGACCAGTAATTGCTCACAACTACTATGAGAAGAGGCTTTTTTGGTTTGAGCTAGACAAGGCTCAAACCAAAAAGTTGATCTCCTTGTTTTCATCATCACCATCAACAATTCCTCCGAGTCCCTCTGTCCCACAGAATACAGCTAGGTGGCCTACTCTATTCAATGGTGTACCCACTTCTGATGCAAGACAGGTCCTTAATGATGTTGAGGCCCCACATTCGCAGGCAGATTTTGCTCATTCAAATCAGTGCAATGTGCAATGGGACTCGTGCAATGGTCATGTTTCAGAAAGAGAGCACCAGCTTTTGGAAGGTTCTGTTGAGAAGGACCTTGTACAGCCAAACCCAAACTGTGTACGTTCATACTCTTCCATTGTAAGCAGTTCAAGTACTTCCCACCCTGAAAAAAAGTGGAGTGCATTATTCAAAACTTCAACAACCTCTGATACATCGAAGGTAGATGAAGATTTTAAGACACGAGCTTCAGAGTTAAACATTCCACGTTCAGATCAGTACAATATGGAATGGGAGTCTTCATGTGATGCTCCCTGTCTGGAAGGAGAATTTAAACGCTTTGAAGATGAGCCAGCTATGGGAAATTATGAGGGGATACATGTGGGCTCAAAATCAGAATGTGAATTGCTGTACCCTTCTGCTCTGACAGAAGCAGCAAGTTCCTTTCAACAGAGCACCTCAAGTGGAACTCTAACCATTGTTGATACAAGACAAGAAGGTGAATATTTTAAGGCTCAAGCTTCAGATGGTAATCTTCCACATTCAGATGAGTCCAATATGGGATGGGGCTCATCATGTGCTACACCTCATCTGGATGGCGAAAGTCGCCCTTCAGAAGCTTCTACAGACGATAATATACCAGAAATTTATGAGGAAGAACTTTTGCCCCCCAAAACAAATTGTGAACGATACTATTCTGCAGTGACAAATGATAAGAGTTCAGATTATAATCATGGAAAAGGAACTGTTCATTCTTTTGTGACGGCTGAGGTACATTCACAAGATGGATGTTCTATAGACAGGGTAGGAGTTGCAGAAATGAAGTCTTCCAATATTCAGTCTGTTGTAGATAAGGTAACTGCATTTTTATCGTCCTTGACTTCTTTATGCCTCATATTATTATTATTATTATTATTATTTTATTTAACTTATGATGGTATTTTGTTAAAGTTGGTGCAAGAAATTGAACGATTGAAGGTCTCTCAATTAAAACAAGTTCAGAAAATCAGTTCTTTGGAGCAGGAGCTGGTAAGATGCCTTATCTATGCTTTATCGTTTCCTTTTTCTTGTAATCTGCGTTTTTGCATCCTATGATCCTGGCAATGTTACTAAGGGCTTGTTGAGTTATCATCTTCAGAAACATTAGTTTCCTTTTTTACTCAATTTATTCTTCTTGTTCTTCCATCACCGCACAAAAAGGATCAGTGTGTCTGGTTTGGGGTATGTGGTATATGCTTCTACTTGACACAAATCCCATATCTATGTTCTTATCACATACACAGGTTGGTCTGTGCCTACATTTTGCATAGTTAAATATGTGTTAATGGTATAAAGTTGCCGAATGTACAATGTGCTTCAATGGAAGACAAGAAGTTATGGTGAGCGCAAGAGAATTCCATGGTTTATGAGCTCTTGATACGAAAGTCACATATATTGCAGAGAACTTGAAAAGGACACAATGTTGGTACTCGTATAGGGTCCTTGAGTTGGGTTCGATGTTGTAGTTCTTTCTTTCAATATTATACAAATGCTAGTCAAGCAGGACCAATTTTACAAAAAAATGCTAATGCCTGGGTGATTTACATTTTGGGATGCAAGTTCTAGAACATGGTATGCTTCGCAAGTGCCTTGTGTCACGCCCCGAGAATTTCTGTGACACGAGGCGCAGCAATTGAAGTGGCCAAATGCGCTGGAAGGTTTCGGAAGGTGCAAGAACGGGCTAGAGTATGCTGGAAGGCTCTAGAACGTGGTGGAAGGGTCCGGAGTGGCCTAGAAGATTTCGGAATGTGGAAGGATCTTAGAGTGTCCAGAGGAGTCTGGATGGGTCTGGAACATCCTAGAATATCTTGGAGAGGCCTACCATGTGCATAGAGAGTTCTAGTCTTCTAGAATGTAGTAGGAAGGGTAGTTGTCCTAGATAGTTCTATGGTGTGTTCTAGATGAGAGTTTGTAGCCCTTGTGAGTGTGAGTGTGAGTGTGAGTGTGAGAGCCTTGTAAAGCTTTGTACACGACTATACTTGTAAAGTTAACTTGTATAGTGAAGGCATTCTTCCACCTAAACTTGTGTGTGTTAGTGTGGTTGAGTGGGTAAGGCTGACTTAGGTGCAACCAAGAGGGTTGAAAAGCATCTAAGGCCGCACGGTTGGCTTGCGAAGTCTAAGGTCGTGACAGTTGGTATCAGAGCAGAGGTGTACATGGCTACGTCGGGTGACGAAGGTGCTAACGTCCCCAGGGTGAAGAAGCTCTCAACGAAGGACTCGATGGCAGCACTGGAGGCACTACTCGATGGGATGATGGAAAGTGTGGAAGGGCGGTTCACTAGACTTGAGGAAGCTCTAGTTGGCCCTGGTAAGCCCACATCCCATATAAGAGAATTTTTCGCTCACTTTGCTAGTCTTATTGCTAGGGTGGAAGAGTTGGAGGAGAAGGTCGACTCCTTCGAAGAAAGGGTGAACTCGTCTCTCACTGAGGCAGCTGGAGACAGTCCCACCGAACGGAAGGCCCTGGAAGCAAGGGTGGTTAGCTTAGAAGTGGAGTTGGAGTTGTGCAAGAAGGCCATCGTTGCTGGCAATGGAGGGAATTTGGCTCCAGCCAGGAGGAAGGTTCGTGCGCCAGAACCTAAGAGCTATGATGGTGCAAGGGATACCCGGGAGATCGACAACTTCATTTGGAACATGGTGCGGTACTTTGAGAACGTCAACATCGCGGATGAAGACGAGAAGGTGCAGACCGCTACCTTGTATCTGAAGGACACTGCAATGCTATGGTGGAGGAGGCGGTACGCCGACATGGAGAAGGGGTTGTGCAAGATAAAGACTTGGGCTGAGCTCAAGAGAGAGTTAAAGAAGCACTTCTACCCTGTCAATGTCGAGTTCCAGGCATACAGGAAGCTACGCAAGCTAAGGCATGTGGGGACATTACGGGACTATGTGAAGGAGTATGCCGCGCTACTATTGGAGATCCCTGACATAGCGGAGAAAGAGGTGTTGTATGGCTTCCTGGATGGGTTGCAGCCTTGGGCAGCAAGAGAGTTGCAGAGTCAGGGAGTAAAAGACCTTGCAACTGCACTAGCGGAGGCGGAGAAGCTGGATGACTTCAAAAGCGATAGGGAAACCCAAGGGCAAAGCCTGGAGACAGTCTCCACCAATCACCGATGATGAGCGCAGTGATGGAGAGTCCCAAAAGAGACGGGAACGGCGCAAGAATGGGCAACGCACGGGATCTCCAAGGAAGAAGCGTGAAGGCAAAGGGCAGCTTGAGTGTTTCCTGTGCAACGGACCGCACATGGTGAGGAACTGCCTGAAGAAGAAGGCGCTGAGTGCCATGAAGAAGAAAGTGGCGAAGGGCTCCGATAGTGAAAGTGCTTCAGAGAAGGAAGCGCAGCTGGGGAGCGTCCAACTTCTTGGGTCAATAACCAAGAAGAATGGGAAGATGGAAGCGCCGAGGAGCATCCAGAAGAAGGATGTGCTCTACGCGGAGGTGAAGGTTAATGGGACAACCTCTCATGCGTTGGTGGATACAGGTGCCACACATAACTTTGTGAGCACTAGAGAGGCTAAGAGGCTGGGCTTGAAGGTCAAAGAGGACAAGGGTTGGTCCAAGCCAGTGAATGCGAAGGCGACGCCAATCCAAGGTCTGGTGAGGAGTGCTGACATGACCATTGGGAGCTGGACTGGGCAGGTGGAGTTCACGGTCATTAAGATGGATGACCACCCCATAATCCTAGGGATGGATTTTATGAGGAAGAACAATGTGATGCCAGTCCCGCACGCTACAACCGTGTTGTTGTTTGCAGGAGATCGACCATGTGAGGTCCCATTGGTGGCAAGGAGTTAGCTACTCAAGGACAAGGGGAAAGCACTTGCGGCAATGCAGCAGATTGAGCAGCATGGCAACGGCAAGGGCGAAGAGGCAAGCACCAGTAGCAACGGACACAGATCATATTGAGATGTGGTGGCTCGGTATGCTTCTGCGTGATGAGGGCGTCACGGAATCGGGTGGGGGAGAGTGTCATGCCCCGAGAATTTCTGTGACACGAGGAGCAGCAATTGAAGTGGCCAAATGCGCTGGAAGGTTCCGAAAGGTGCAAGAACGGGCTAGAGTATGCTGGAAGGCTCTAAAACGTGGTGGAAGGGTCCGGAGTGGCCTGGAAGATTCCGGAATGTGGAAGAATCTTAGAGTGTCCAGAGGAGTCTAGATGGGTCTGGAACATCCTTGAATATCTTGGAGAAGCCTACCATTTACTACACTAGCATAGAGAGTTCTAGAATGTAGTAGGAAGGGTAGTTGTCCTAGATAGTTCTATGGAGTGTTCTAGATGAGAGTTTGTAGCCCTTGGATCAAAATGATCCTAGCCGTCTATTGAGGAGGGGGATGGCTATATAAGGGTGAGGGGTCTCATTTGCTAGGCACCTAGAGACGTGGAGATCCAAGAGAGCTCTAAGAGTGAAGTATTTGTGAGTGTGAGAGCCTTGTAAAGCTTGAGGGTTCTAGATGAGAGTTTGTAGCCCTTGGATCAAAATGATCCTAGCCGTCCATTGAGGAGGATGATGGCTATATAAAGGGGAGGGGTCTCATTTGTAAGGCACCGAAGAGAGGAGCCAAGAGAGGAGATCCAAGAGTGCTCTAAGAGTCAATCACTTGTGAGGGTGAGAACCTTGTAAAGCTTTGTACACAACTATATTTGTATAGTGAATACATTCTTCCACCTAAACTTTGTGTGTTGGTTAGTGTGGTTGAGTGGGGAAGGCTGACTTAGGTGCAACCAAGTGGGTTGATAAGCATCTAAGGCCGCAAGGTTTGCTTAGAAAATCTAAGGCCGTGACACTTGGCTTTCTTGTACACCAGCAGGGGATCGAAGTAGATAGGGATAAGATTAAGTCAATTATGGAGATACCACCGCCACACTCAAAAAAGGCCTTGAAGAAATTCCTAACCAAAGTGTCATACCTCAAGAGGTTTATTCCAACCCTTGCTGAGATAACCTTTTCCTTTGGGACACTACAGAAAAGGAATCACAGGTTTGAATGGTTGCAAGAACACCAATAGGCATTTGATAACTTTTATAAAATATAATAGATTTGTTTTCTTTCTTTCATTTTTTATTTTATTTTTATAAACTGGGAGTCAATATTTTGAATAATTTAATGTTCTTTATCTTTTTGTGTGTGGGTTTTTTTATTTTTATTACCACTCAGCGGTTTTATATGATTGTTGGTGTCTTTAAGGAAGGCCCTATAGCTTTGTGTTTTATTTTGTAACTAGCCTACAACATACAAATTTGTCATGTTATATATCAGGTTGGTTGCTCTATTTTTTTTTTCTTCCCTAACTTGTCCTTTTTCATGACTTGGTGAATGTGAACTACTTTTGAATTGGCAATTCAGGTTGAATCCAAAATAGGAATCCAACATTTGAAAAACAGATGCCATGTGTTGGAATCTGGGTCGCTTTCTTCAATCGGGCATGTTCAGGATGCAGTGATAGAGACATGCAATGAGCCTCCTCCTAAGATTGATGATTCAATACTTATAGTGGGAGGATTTGATGGTTCTTCATGGTTGTCAGCTTTGGGTTCCTATTCTCCTTCTAGGGACACAATGAAATCTCTTAAGTCAATGACCTTTGTACGTTCATATGCATCTGCAGCAACTTTGAATGGTGAACTTTACATATTTGGTGGTGGAGATGGTGACATATGGCATGACACAGGTATAGTTGCCATGTTTTTGGTAAATCCTTTATTGTGTGACTCATTAATCTTTTACATGCGGTAATAACAGTCAGTTTTATTTGTTTTAAGTTGAATCGTACAACGCAATAAGTGATCAATGGGTGAGTTGTCCTTCATTAAATCAGAGGAAGGGAAGTCTAGCGGGAGCTTCCTTAGACGGCAAAATATTTGCAGTTGGTGGTGGAAATGGAGTTGAATGTTACTCTGAGGTGGAAATGTTAGACATGAACATTGGGAGGTGGATCACTTCTCAGTCAATGAAACAGAAGGTACTGTGTAGTTATTATTTGCATGAGTAAGCTAGTAGGTTGCTTGCAACTATCTGCTTATATTTTTGAATAAATTTTATTTTATTTTTGAGAAACTATACTCAAAGGATGCAAGTTATATTGATTTGAAAATAAAGTTTTCCTTTCCATTTGATTGTGATAATTTGAGGTCCAGTCATAGGCTTACATTTTATTTGAAAAAGTGCGTTTATTAATACAAGAGAATGAATTTTTAACTTTCTAATTATGTTCAAATCATCATTATATTTACTATGGAATGGGCAGCCACATTGCTGAATAATTTGGTTTTGGGATTTATAATCTTATCATTCTCAATGCTTGGTGAATTTCGTCCTGATACATTTCTTTATTATAAGAGCTTAAGCCCGCATCTAGGTTTTAAGGTCCTCATTTGATCCTACAAAACTGGATCATCTACTGAATTGAGCATTTTGAGGTGATGATGTCAATCTAATTTTTGGAAGGTGTTCACTTGTCGAACAGATCAACAAATACAACTAGTCTATAAAACATGTCATGTTTTCATTTTTTTTTTTTTTCAAATATGCTCGCTGTTGTAGCTAAGAAATTAAGCGGAACTATGTATGTTGAAGTATTACTTCTGCTGTCCTCCCAGCGATTTGCTCCAGCTGCAGCAGCAATTAATGGCATACTCTATGTTGTTGGTGGATACGATGGAAGAAATTACTTAAAGTAAGATTTCATTTCTTTTCATTTCGCATCTATTATTTTATTGGGTAGCATTGTCATTTATGGCCAGATTTACCATAATTAAGTAGTTCTGTTTTGAGCCTGCTTAAGATTGTATTTTTTTGTGTGTTACGTTACTAATGCATGCCCTGGTTCAGAAAGATTGGCTGATGCTGTTACATAAGACTGTTAAGTTGTGTTATTGTGAGGTTCCATTGCCGTTATGGACCAATTAATAGGTTGGAGTGAAATTAATGATTGTATTGGCCGTTGCAGTTTGTTAACTTACGGCAATGACTGCCCGTTATGGCATATGAATTTATATGCATTTTGATTACACATAGAGACTTAGGAAACTTGATTCCTTTCTTAGATCGACATTTGTGGAGGTAAAAATAACAATATTTCTCTTCACATCTCTAGCATCATATTTCTGTAGTAATTGTTTATTGAACTAAACAGACGAAGGGTAAGTATATCCTTTGCAGGGAAATAAAAAAATAAAAAAAAAGGGCTCAAAATTGAACAAAACTGCCGTGTTAGAAGGCCAGTTGAAAATTTGGGTGATAGAGTGGATGGAGAACTTTTAGAGGAAGATTTGGGTAACCCATTACTATGGGAGGGTTGGGGCTGATTGATCAGGTTAATCCTCTGTTGGGCTTGATTTTGGGAGCTCTTCTTTAGATGGTTTGAAGTGGGGAAGAAGGCTCATCCTCTGCAAGTTGCAGGGCGATGGATCTAGGTTGTCATGAAGGTGGGTGGTTGAATTCAATAACAGGAGATTATGGAGAATATGATGGCCAAATGAGCTGTGAAGGTTGGGTTTGCTCTGAAACATTGCTGGGTTTGCTGGAGAGGAAGTTGGAAGGAGGATTATTAGGTCAAAGAGCAGGGAAGAGCAATGGAATGGTGGCTTAGGATTTGATGGTGGTCATTGTGAGGGATGTCTAGGTTGATAGAGGTGAAATGAAGATGTCTAGCCAGGGGGAGGTTCTCATGAAGTCGAAGATGGTGTCTGATGGATAGGGATGAAATGAAGATGTCTATCCAGGGGGAGGCTCTCACATAGTCGAAGTTGGTGTCTGACAAGGGGAGGCTCTCACATACTCGAATACCCAAGTTTATAAACTTGAAATTGTATTTGCTTGGTTTGGATTTTTTAAAAATACTTTTCAGAAAATTCTACTTTCTTGTTTCCCGTATTTTTTTGTTTTTACTGAATTTTTTTAATATTTTAAGCAATTTTTTAATTTTTAGACACACTTAAGATAAATACACTAAAAAAGTATAATTTTTGTGAAAAAAACTTTAAAAAATTCAGTAAATACAAAAAATACAAAAAAAATGAAATTTCAGTATTTTTTTTTTGTATTTTTGTGTATTTATTAATTTTTAAAAATATTTTTTCACAAACATTTTATTTTTTAGATACATCTAAATAAGGTGCATCAAAAAAAGTAAAAAAAATACTTAAAATTTTAAAAATATTTACTAAAAACAAAAAAACACGAAAAACAAAAAACCCAATTTTCAGAAAACTAAAACTAAACATACAAACTTGTGTTGCCCTTAGGCGTACAACCGTTATTTATAGATCTAATCTAATTATAGTAAAACAAGAAACTAATAAAATAGGAAAACTAAATAATCTCAAATCAGTAAACTAAATAGTTTTATACTAAATTAGAATATTCCTAATCAAATATTAATTCCATAATAATAAAAATAAAATAAAATAAAATATATAATTATTAGAATTTTGTCTGCATCAGTTAGCAAATTATTGCTGTTTATATTTTAATTTTTATATGCTCTTTTTATTTTTATTTTTTATTTTTTTTATAAATATTGCAGATTATGTCAATTAGATTTTTTCATGTGTCTCTGATTTATGTGGTAAGATGCCAATTTGTTGTTAAAGTGTCCTAACTGCCACGATTAAGGAGTTTAGGGAGGAAAACAATGTTCATCTCTAATCTCATGCTGGCACCAAAAATTACAGGTCTCTTTGTATAATAATCTCCTTTGCTTCCAAATATAAAGGGTGCTTAGGTCTATAAGATGTGTATTCATCCTTTTGCTTCCAAATATAAAGTGTACTCAGGTCTATTCGATATGTGTATTCGTCCATGAAGTTTGCTTACACTTCCCGTCTTCCTTATATGAGCTTAAGGCTTTGTTTGGATGTATTTTAAATAACTACTTTTGCATAGGTATTTCAAATGCCTGTGATAAAGGTCTTTAATATAATATTCAAATACTTAGGTAAACTGTCGAATCTAAATTTGAGGTAGTTCTTGCTTTCTCCATGAATAAATAATGCCAAATCCATGCATTTCAAATCCATAAATACAAATGGAGCCTAACATAATGGCATTGAAGAATGTGTTAGATGAATACTAGATAAATACTAGTGGTTTTGGATGTACCCTCCTGTTTGTTGAACATATGTTCTTCTATTAAAATTTTCTTTTCCTATCATCTCAGTTCCATTGAAAGGTTTGATCCTCGAGAACACTCATGGAGGAGGATAGGAAGTATGAACACAAGGAGGGGATGCCATTCTTTGACCATGTTGAATGAAAAATTGTAAGTTGATCCTCAAGAACATTTATGTTTACAATTTTCTGTTTATATTAACAAAAATTTGAAAATCGTAAACAAACACTCACTTGTTTAACCACAAAAAAGTTGGTTTTACTTGTTTAGAAAATGATTTTTCATTCCTTCTTCCTGTTCCCATCCTCTCTAGCATCACCCGCCACTCATCACCCCCAGTAACTACCACATCCAATCACACCAACCTCCGGCCACTGTTGTCAGCAATATCTTCCGATTGCTGCCTTACCACTTGCCACTGGCGGCAACCACCTTCAATCACCAACCTCGGCAACCACCACCTCCTCTACTACTACTTGACACCTTCCGCTATTGATAACCATCTCTGGCCTTCATCTCTAATTGTTGACAACCAGTTTCAGGCACCACTTCCCGCAGACAACGACTTCAATTATTTTGAAAACAAAATTTTAAAATGTATACCAAACATATTTTCGTTTTGCTTTTTAACAAAAATTAAACATAAGCATGTTTAATATTTTCTGTGAATAAAAATTGTAAACGTTACCAAACAACACCTTACAGTTTTGTTTGTAATAGATCATTATATGGGGATATCTCAAACCTTGTTTATTTACTAATAATTTCTTGGATTGGTTTACCTTGGCTAGATATTTTTTGATCTTCACATGGAAAGTATGGAAAACCACTACTTGCACTTGCATGATAATGGATGCCTAGAACTTTTTAAGTACTGTTCATATTACCACAGTACAGCTAATAAAAAAGACATTGTATGGAAAAATTTCAATGCAGATATGCTTTGGGTGGTTTCAATGGTTCTAATATGGTCTCAACTATTGAGATATTTGATCCCCGTCTTGGTTCATGGATGATGGGTGAACCCATGAATGATCCTAGGGGATATTCTGGAGCTGTCGTTATTGGAGAGAAAATCTATGTCATCGGTGGGGTGATGGATGGTAGTGAGATATTGAGCACGGTACATAATAACCATATTGTATTTCTATAATATTTGATGCGTCTATAATTTGGAGTCTCGGCTATGTGCATTTTTTATTTTTAATTCTCATAATTTTTGGTGATATGACAGATTGAATGTTATAAAGAGGGTTGTGGTTGGGAGCTGACCAACATGAAAGCTGTCGGGAAAAGATGTTTCTTCTCTGCAGTTGTCTTGTGAGTAATGTTCACGAATGGAATATTTCATGATGACGCATTTTAGTCATACACTATAAAAAAGAGAAACTTGTGGGATTCGAGGTCTATGTAAATGCTGTTAGGTCTCCTACATACTGAAAACAATGTTATGTATTTAGTCTTGTTATGTCCTTAGAAACTTGAGGTGCGGTTAAACTTAAAAACTTGAGGTGCAGTTGCCATAGTCCTAACCTTGCTTATAGAATTATATATATGTATATAAAATACTTTGCAGAGTCTACTACTACTAGGAATGGATATTATCACTATTATATGTGGTGGTGTGCTGTTTACTGAAATGGACGTATATATGGTTTTGGATAGTATACTTTGGATGTGTAGGTGTTTTGACCGAATCCGGATCATTTAATTTTTTTCTGGATTGATTTTAAAGTGATTTTTTATATGGTTAAAATTTTATTTTTAAAGTGGCTAGTAGTATTCTGTACCATCAATTTTATTTTTAAAGTGACTTGATACATAAATTTAGTATTGTTGTACTCAATTTTTGTAAAATTCAATTTCAATTATACAAAAAATTACTATAGAAGATCCGGATTAGGTTTGACTTGCCTTGGTGTGGGTATGAGCTGATTGTTTTAGACGGAGTGCGTGCTTTCCTGTTCTGCATTTTGATTCCTTTCATGCTTGATTTTCACATTTTAGATAGTTTGAAACTGCAGGACGAAGTTTTAATCTTATTTATTAAATGGGTCATACGTATGAATTGTCATCAATGTCCAATCTGGTTATTACAATGTTACATAAATTATAGGGTAAATTATACTGACACTCACTGAGTTTTATGTTTATTACAATTTTCTTCCTCACCTTGTGGAAATCACATCTATCTCTTGAGGTTTAAAGTTTCATTACAGATTTTCTTCTCAGTAATTTAATTTTTTTAAATATTAATTTTGCCTTTACTGGGTGAATTACATTGACACCACTCCTATTTTAGAAATTACAATCCCCTCCCAAAGGTTTACAGTAGCATTATCAATTGTCCTCACAATTAAGTTGGAAAAAAATTCATTGCAAAAAAATTAATTGGAAAAAAAATTATTTGAAAAAAAAAAATAAATTGAAAAAAAATTGTTAGTAAAATTTTTAAATTTCTATTTAAAAACTAACATAAAATTATTTTTTGAATTTACGTTTTTTTTTTTAAATTTACAAACTGAGACAATTATTTATAAATTAAAAAAATTATTAAATAAGTTTTTATGGTAGTTTTTAAAATTTTTGTAAATATAAATTGAAAATTGAAAACGAAATGGTTACTAAATAGGTTTCAGATGGTAAGAATGTCATAAAATTAACAAATAATTAAATAAGTTACTAACGTAAGAAATGTTTTATTAAAAGATTCTTAAGTTATGTATGGTTTGATTTTTAGAATTTTCTTTAAAAATTAAAAATTAATCCGGTTAAGAAATAAAAAATAAAAATAATTATCATTTTTATATAATTTTTATCTTTCAAGTGGTTACAAATAATTTTTTACAAATTAAATTGATACGTATGTATATAATCTGCCCAAAAGTTAAAATGAGAATTATTTTTTACCCTTAAATGATAGTTACTTTTTATTTTTTATTTCTTAACCAAATTAATTTTTAATTTTTAAATTTTTTTTCTAAAAATCAAACCATACATAGCCTAAAAATCTTTTGATAAGTTATTTCTTACATTGGTAACTCATTTAATTATTTGTTAATTTTAAGACATTTTTACCATCTAAGACCTATTTGATAATTTTAACAATTTCGTTTTCAATTTTCAATTTATATTTACAAAAATTTAAAAAACTGTCATAAACATTTATTTAATAATTTTTTTGATTTATAAATTGTTGTCTCAGTTTGTAAATTTGAGGAAAAAACGTAAATTCAAAAAATAAGTTTACGTTGGTTTTTAAACAAAAATTTAATAATTTTACTTACAAATTTTTTTTTTCAATTATTTTTTTTTCAAATAATTTTTTTCTCAAATAATTTTTTTTTCAATGAATTTTTTTTCCAACTAATACTAATCAAGGGGGCAATTGGTAATGCCACTTTAAACCTTAAGGAGGAGGTTGTAATTTCTAAAATGTAAAGAGTGTCAATGTAATTTACCCAATGAAGAAAAAATTAGTATTTAAAAAAATTAAATTGCTAAAAGTACGTTGGTTTTTAAACAAAAATTTAATAATTTTACTTACAAATTTTTTTTTTCAATTATTTTTTTTTCAAATAATTTTTTTCTCAAATAATTTTTTTTTTTCAATGAATTTTTTTTCCAACTAATACTAATCAAGGGGGCAATTGGTAACGCCACTTTAAACCTTAAGGAGGAGGTTATAATTTCTAAAATGTGAAGAGTGTCAATGTAATTTACCCAATGAAGAAAAAATTAGTATTTAAAAAAATTAAATTGCTGAAAGGAGAATTTACAATGAAATTTTAAACCTTAAGGGAGAAATGTAATTTTTAAAAAGTGAGAGAAAACTGTAATAAACATAAACCTCAGCGGGTGTTAGTTTAATTTATCTTAAATTATATATAATATATTTAATTTAATTTAATTTTTTTTTAGTAGAAATAAAAAATACTCTTAAGAAAGAAAATATACTCGCCCAAAATTTGAACTTAAAGATGTAATGAGTAGATGATTATGACGTGTCAATTACAAAACTAACAATTTTTGTGAATTTTATAATGAAAATAATATAATATTTTTTATATCTAATATGTGAGTTTGTTGAGAAGGCTATATCACGAGTCAGTGGCCAATGTCACCTATGTGACTGAGGTCAGGGTTAAACCATGTCCACAATCGGTTAAAAAGAAATCACATGGATTTTAATTTGTTATGGTCTAGAGAATTGCCGCAGCGAGAATTTTCTGTTGGACCAGTTTATTTTAACTTCCTTTCTGTAAGCTCGCCTAATGTACAAAACCACATCTAATACAACCTCAAAAAGATTTCTCAAATTCTAATACATTTTGACCAATTATTTCGGGATTTATAGTCCAATTTAACCGAAAACAATGACAGTTTAAATTACCAGCTACACCAATGTCCCCAGATATTGTAGATCGCAAGGAGGCATGAGAACGAAAGTATTGAAGGATTTGCGAAAGCAAACTGCGGACCCCAGTGCTTTTTAACAGAGTTAAACAAAATTACTGCAACTAGAGACAGCATTCACTCGATACCGTGAAATGATGGCAAGACTGCAATAAGGGGATCCCCATAGCCAACAGCTTCTGTAAATCACAAAAGTATAAACAAAACATTAAGTAGCAGAGGCCTGCAGCCAAACATATTAACAAATCCATGCATCAATGGCTATACAGGTTTCTGCTTGTTTTTAGATTCGTCATTTTGGAGGTTGTGGAGTGAGTTTTACCATTGCAAAACCCGTCAGATACTCTCCCATCTATGGCGCATAGACTCGGGTACAAGTATTGGGTGCGAGTGTCCAAGATTCAAATATTCCTAAACTCAAATCTTAGGGATATTAAGATATGTGAGCATCTGTTCCTTCAAAAATTATATAAAGCTAGAACTTAGGCCTCAAATGTCTAAATAGGATATGGGTGACTACACCCTTACTCTTGTCTTGTCATACTTGATGGACATAGGTACACTAGGGAAAGTAGAGGAATCTATGTAACAAAGTCTCCCGTTATGTAAATTTGAATACCTTTTTCTCTCGTTCAAAAAATAAAATAAAATTAAATAGATGCATAAATTGCTCAAGTGCAAAAGTAGTGACCAGCTTATCCCACTAAAAAATATTTGCTCGCATAACAGGTCAGTAAATTAGTTTGTAACCTGCTTTATTATCAACAACACCGAGTCATGTGAGTTGAAGCACTTGACTAAGTCAAGACTTCATTCACTTTTCACTTATGTGACTAAATGCAAAAAGGAAACCACGAAACGAACCCTGATTCCTAGAGATATCTCAGCTTTCAACACAACACTACGAGTTGAAAATGGCATCGATATTCACAGTCTTCCCACCCGCTAAATGAGAAAATAAATTGTGAAAAATTCCCAATTCAATACCGCAGGGAAATAAGAGGGAATGATTCCATCTGATCTAAGGGTTTGGTTTGACTATGTTTGCTCACTTGAGTCGTCCATGAAGCATTGTAACTTATATGACAGACATGACGGTAGTTGGTCAATATTTTGTCTTGCAGCACCCTCATGTACCTCTATGTGAATACACATGCAGTACAACTGCTAGTAATTGTGTTCTAACTTCCACCATCATAGTTAAGCCATTAAGTTTTTGCATGTTTCTTGAAGTGATTTGAGATGTCAAAGATGCACAAAAATTAATGAATAAAAGAATTTACGAATAAAGTAGCACAGACACCGTACCTCCATCATTAAAGAGAAGCTTTAAGACCTCTCCAGCCACATCTGACTGCTCAACAAATGTCCAAAAATAAGTAGTCATAAGCAACATCTATCATGAAGGCAAAGAGATATTCCATGGAGCTTAAACCAAAAGCTTACCTTCACAGGAAGTTCAGTGCCAAACTGATCCACAAAGCCTATCACCTGTCCTTCTTTGATTACATCACCCTAAATCAATTATTAGCTGAAAACAGTTAGTTTTGTTTTGGCCATCTTGGACTCCACATTCCTTGAAAATTCACTTTATTTTATTTTATTCTATTTTATCTTTCATGTATTCAGAATGATAAAATTCCTTCCAGAAATAAAAGCTAATTGTAGATAATAGTCACTCAATTTTTATCATTCAATTGCTAAAAGGTACTGAAGATCTCAAAAATATAGATAGGTGAACTGACAAATTTGGAAACTTGAAAAACTTGAATTTCAGAAGGCCAAGCATAAAATGTTGCAGCCAAAGCACTTAGAAGTGACGGGTAGGGTTAGGGCTTTCAATCTCTCTACTCATAACGATCCTTAAGAAACATAAATTACAATCGCTACCTCTTTGCAAATAGGAGGTTGCTTCTTTCCTTTCAATGTTCTGCCCCTTCGGAATGAGCCAACCTATGAGAAAGGGATAGTGGACTACATTAATAACTTTTCCACAAATACTAGAAGGCAAATGCTGCAGCAATACATACCGTTGGAGATGACATAAGAACATATCCACTAGCTCCAGAAGCCTCCAATGCTGCTAACTTCGATGATTTTTCCACTGAAACATTTGAAAATGGACTGATTTTTTCTGTAGAGGATTTCGGCAGTGGAGTTGGTGGGGAAGCAGCAGCTGATTCAATCATCGGTTTGCTGGGAATAGGTGGTGGTGTGGTTGGAGAAACAACAGGCAAGGGAGCGTGTGCGGCACCAATATTCCGCTTCAGATGCATTTCAAAGTCTCCAACCTATCACAAATCAACTAATGTTTGGTCAAATGTAAGAATGTAAAAACAATATACACATTGATACAACCAAGAATTATTAATGGCCAGGACAAGCATCTGTATCATATTTTAAAGTTCAGAAGGGAAGCCTCCCATCTCATTCATTTAAATGGAGTGTTATATGCTGTTTCAATTAAACAGATAGTAAACTCATAACAACTCTTGCTCTTACTCAATTATCTGACAGGTAGGTTCATCACAAATTGATGCTTGGATAGCAATATCACTGTTCCACCAAAAAGCTTTCTAAGCAATCAAATAGGCAACTTCCCATTTCACATCTTATCTGTGTTTTATGTTCATGCATTATGATTCACATCATCCTCAAGACTAAAGGACATGTGCCACAATACTGGTTAACAAATAATTTTCCTCTTTTGGTTCAAGTCACGAAGCATGCTGTATCAGTACCCACTACCCAGTTATATTTTGTCTTGTTGCTACCGAGTTTCTTCTGTATCAGTACCCACTACCCAGTTATTCATTGTCTTGTTTCTCTCTTCAATGCATGTATGTCAAATGGTACATCCACCCATCACACTCATTTCTTTGAAGATAATCCTTTTAAACTTTCCCTTGGAACATATTGAATCACCGACCAATATTATATTTAAGTTCAATCATCTACCCTCATTTTCTACAACCCACAGCATTTCCTAACCAGACCATTAATGAATGGAAATTATATTCAAATGCTGCTACTACAAGCATTTTAAGGTTCACCTTTAGTTTCAGCTCAGCAATCTCTGTCTCGTCACAGACCTCCAGGACCAACTCCTGATACAAGAAAATAGAAGCACACTAGTCATGGTTCAAACAAAGATTAGAGGAGTTAAACTTCAAGGTGAAGAAATCAAGTAGCGTGCTTACACTGATTTTGTGAAATAAGCTAGCATGACTCAATGAGAAAAGTAAACTATGAACATGACACAAAGGACCAACTACCATGAATGGAAATGCCTCAAGCATTTGACACTTAGAAAAATTGACCAAACACTTGAGATCAAAGGCCCAACACTTCCCCCTATTAACCACTCTCCTAGTCTGGCAAAAAATATTTATTTTTATCCATTCTTGGACTTGACATCATGGTTTCCAACTTTACAACAATTCTACAAATGAGTTTGACAAATAAATATGGATGTTATTAGCCCAAAGGCTTAAAATTTTGCTCAAAGGAAAGATCAAGCAACACTTTCTTTAAACAACTAACCTCACTTTTGGGGTCTTCACTATTACCTGATGCAAATAGAAGTTTCGAAACAAGGTGTTTTAGATAATCTTCTTCTCATGCAGAGTAAAGAGTTTGATCCAAAGTCAAAGTTTAAAACCTTGCTTCATGCAAGGGCAAACTAGAGTGGAAGAGTTTCAAGCCTAAGCCATGATTCCTATATTGTAACTGCACCTAAGTTATGTTTTCAAACAAAATTAATATCAAGTAAACTCCAAAAAGTACTTGAAAACATTCTAGAACACATGAAAGGATATAAATAATGATGACATATTGTCAAGATTTCTCCATGGGGTTCATCAATGAACATAGTTCAATAAAATAAACTCACAAAGTTGCAAGAGATATCTGAGTGTCAGAAAGATAGACACGGACGCACCTCAAATCCATTAGGAAATGTTGCTCTTCGTTGACCATTCTTCTCTAACGGCCTTTGTGGTTGGCTATCTGATGGAACTACAACATTACATTATCCAAATTTTTTGATCCAAAGGCTAGATGAAATGCTCAGTAATACCGTAAAATTACATTTATATGTGTGAGTTCATATATCATGCAAAAATATGTATACCAAAGACTCAGACCCAGCACATTAATAAGTACAATGGCAGTAACAGACTTGAACTTCGGATAAAATCCTAGTCCCACTTGGATTTCACCAATGTACTGGATGTTTCAATTCTTTATTCTTTTGTGGGAAACAGGAATTATTAATAATCAGAATAAGGACTTAGGAAAAAAATGAAATAAAGTGTCCACAAAAATCAAAACAGAATATCAATACATAAATTACATGGCACATGGCAACATTCTCTGACCAAAAGAAACTAAATCTGCACATAAGCTTTAAGTAAAACAACTCACCATCAGACTTGGCTGCCACTACAGTTTCAGATGCCTTTATGCATGAAACTACCATTCCTTCCCGTCTTATAGGAATAGACCCACCAAATGTCAAACCTTGGATGTGTGATCTACTTAAGGTGGGCCAGGTTGCATTATGCACAGCAACCATGCATGGCCTCTCAAGTACAGACCGCACAAGTGAGACAGTTCCTACAGAATCTGGAACACAGCAACTAACAGATCAGCATCAAGCTTGGGATCTAATTACAGTTAAAGAAATATATAATATATAGTGAATAAGGAAACCCCTATAATATGGCATAATGAGGGGGTAGAAAGATCAAACACAGATGACATGCCAATAGCCATATAGCATGCTAATAGCCTTCAAGCTTAAGCCGAAATGTTGATTATTACTCTTTTTATTTTTTATTTATTGTTTTAATTTTTAAATACATTAAAGGCATATAAAAAAAAAAATCACAAAACATATATCTAAAAGATGTCAATTGTGGTCGTTACAAGGCCATCCAATGGCAGGAAAAGACCATCTTAGAGGTACAACTCCAGGATCCATAATTCCCATAAACATAATCCACATCATAAAATGGCCCAGTATTCCTAGGCAGAAAAACTAATTCATACTATTAAGAGCAAGAAAAACTAGTGCAAGAAAAGTACAATATATACCACAAAGAGGAACTGATTAAAACTAGGTACAAGGACACCTATATGTGACATATGCATCTTAATAGTCCCAAGGGCTGACTATGAATGAATAGACAAAAGGATAACTAAACTTCTTGTTATAAAGATTGAAAGATAATCCAAAGACTACAAAAAGGGCAGTCTTAGTGCATGGGACTCCTGCCTCTAGGATGGGAGAGGCTATTTGTGTGATTTGAACCCATGAACCCTAGGTCGCAATGGAGTAACCTTAATATTGTGCCAAGGCCTGTCTACCACCCCATCCCTTTTCCGTCAAAATTTGTTTCTTTTCCTTAACTTTCTTCATTGGAGATGGTTATCTAATAGAATGGTTGTTGATGAATTTAAGGATTTGAATTACACTGCCTAACAACTTAACCTTTCGGACTAGTCTGTTGTGTATTCATATCTCACTAACCACCCCATAATTATAACCATCCACATTTTGGCCCAGTCATGGATGCAGTATGACTACACATGATAGACAGCAGCAATTAACAAAAGGAATAAACATTTAGGGCCAAGCTATTACTACTTTTCCCGAAAGACATCTTGGGTTGAGAATCTCTAATAAAATAGCAAACAGGGGCCTTCAAAGTTTCTATAAGCATCATAACAGTTCCATTTTCCTTCTTTTTCTCAACAAAACTGGAAAATGAAGACACAAACAAAAACACATACATACATGCATAAATATATATATATATATATATATTTCAGAAATGTGGCCCAAACAAACTTAATTAGAAAGCATGTAACTAAATTAAATGTTTTCTTCAAGTAGATCCAGTTAGCTGAACAAAAAGGACATGAATACAGGTTCGATATAGCTCAAGAGAAGAATCAAATGAGAGAGATTGATATGAATAAAGCGAACAGGTGAAATCAATTCGAACCTAATTTCACTCCCAGACATCTATTTCATACTAATTATCAGAACACAGCGCAAACATAATATCACGGATTGATGGATCTGAAACACGAATGCAAAGCAAATGACACAATTCATAATTACAGAAACGCAATACAGAAAAGCAAAATGAACGCCAAAGTTATACACATCGATATATTTAGCTCTGCAAATTGATATGTGCAGGTATATATATACACAAATACGTATGTACATGTAGAGAGAGAGAGAGAGAGAGAGAGAGACTTACAGTTGAAGGAACGGAGAACAGCGGCGGAGTCCATGGAAGGAGGGGAGAGAAGAAGAAAAGCAGGAAGCGGAGGAGATCGATGTATCTGAGAAATGGAGAGAGGGGTAGAGAGAAAGAGAAGAATTTATAGTTGAGAATTAGGAGATGAGAGAGTTTTGTTAAAAGCACAGACAGTTGGATGTTGGTGTGGTGGTATATCTATTCTATTATGTATGTATTTTGTCTTTGAAATCTCCGCCCCTCTCCTACAGTTTCTTCACCTACTTCCCACAGCTCTGAGAGTTCAGTTTGCTAACGTGCGCTGTGTTTCTTTTCGCCTAAGTGGCTCTCGTCCGGCATTTATGCTTTGTTTTGTTTTCTTTTTTTTTAAACGGGTTGATTCGGTTACAAATTAGACCTATAACTATAAAAATTCAGACCGGGTTGATTTGGTTACCAATTATAATTATAATGATTCACTTATTTTAAAAACTTGAACCGAATGATATATTGAAAAAATCAAATTAGAAAGTGTAATTTCGTCTACACGATCACATCAAATTGGGATTTTTGTTTTTGGGTCAGTGCTATCAAAAGCCCAATTTTTGGATAGAGCTCAAACTTTGATTTGGAGGCATTAAGTTATCTGATGGAGAAATTATCCATAGGTCCCATGTGGAATATGTGGACACCATTTAATCCCATAACTTTTTGAGCACACTCAAAAGTCTTTTCCCCTCTCTCTCTGCTTTTTGCTTCCCTTTTTACGCCTCCTCCTCTAACCCTAATCTCAGTCCTAAAGTCAAACAAGAAGGTGATGAAGAACAAGAACAAGAAGACGATGAAGAACAAGAAGACGCTCATCCTCAAATCTGTGCTTAGATTGAACAGATTTGTGTATATATTTTTGTCAATTTCTCTCTCTTTCTCTCTCTATTTACAGATTTTTTTTGGGATAGTTGTTGATCTATGGTTGTTGTTGTTGATGATGAAATAGATCTATAATATCATTGAAACAGATCTGTAAAGACTCAGATTTGTACAGATATCACACAGATTTGTAATGAGAAAATTTTCGAATTCTGAACAAGTAATTTTCGAGTTTTAGTTACAGGCGGTGAAAACTGTAAAATTTTGTAGTTTCAAATTTTTTTTTTTGGTGCTGGAATGAATCATGGTTTAAAACTGTAAAATTTTGCAGTTTTATAACATTTTTTAGAACTGTAAAAGTTTACAGTTTCATAACATGTTTTAAACATTCCGACGAGTCTCCGGCGATGTTGAACATTCTGATGAGTCTCCAGCGACCGTTTGACGGAAGTCCGACGGTAGTAAGATGTGAACAGTGTCTGTAAATTAAAAAAAAAAAGAAAAGATTTTTTGGTAATAATTAAAAATGTATTGGACTAATTGGTGCAAGTATTTTGTTTTGGGATTAGCTGGGTTTTGAACTTAGTACATGGGACTTATCAGTAAGTTCCCCTCAAAAAAATAGACCCATATTTGGACCTTGGGTAAGTCAGGCTGGTGGATTTGGGCTTGGACTCAAGCTTAGGCGGGCCTAAATATTTTTTTCTATCAAAATTTTATTATTTTTTACTAAAAATGGCACTAGGCTTCGGACGGGTCGGGCCTTAGGTCAGGTTTTGAGTGAGCCTTGAGCAGGCCGAACTAGGCTTCAAAATGACGGACCAGGCCCAGGGTCTCGGGCTGGGCTCAGGCCTGGGCCTAACCGAGCCTAACTAGATCGGGCCCATTCCGAGTCGCGAGTGGATTTCAGGCCGCCCATGGACTGCAGCCATTTTTACACTCTTAGATGTCGTTGGTATTCGCAAGGAGGATGAGTGGGGTGGTGTCAGATTTGTAGATTCCGTGAAAGACGAGGTGAAGAAACCTCTCCTAAAGATAAAATAAATTTAAAATTTTAAAAAAATGGAGGGATTATTTGCTGTTTGGTGTATTTTTTTATTTTTTATGAAAAGATATGTAAAAAAATAAAGACTAGTTAGTTGAAGTGATCTAAATAAGTGTACTTTAAGCAGTAAGAGATAATTTTTTAATTATTAATTAAAATTTCTCAATAATATTATTAGAGAAATTTCAGTTACTAATTTCTGTACGAAGAGTTGAAAATATTTCTATGAAGATAAATTTTTTTGTAAAAATGTTGAGAAATCCCAATTATTATGAAATCTTGTATGTTTTTTATTTTATAAAATTCTAATATCAGACACCTTAAATTAAAAATCCCAATTAATAATAAATATTATAAATATTAAAAGTAAATTCATAATTTTTTTCTTTTTTTTAATTAATTTTTCAAAATTTCTTCGACAAATAATTTTTCCTAGAAAAAAATGCAGTGAAAAAAATATATATATTTTATGGATAATTACACCCCAGTGGAAGTTAGAAAAAAAAATACACAGTCATGAAACTGTTTATAATTTTAATTATTAATATTTATAAAATTTCTCACTAATTTATAATTATTTTTTTAAAATCCCAATTACATGATATTTTCCTTATATTTTATGGGAAGTATTTGATTAGAACAAAAAAATTGTAAGAAAAAAAAACAATAAAAAATAGGATTTTTAGTTAGGGCAAAATTTGCTTTACCTCATTGGTTAGAACTAAGTGCACATAATTCCTCTCTTATTTGAAAATAAATAAATAATTTCCTATAATTTATAGACTAGAGTACACTGTTAGACCTGTTAATAATTAAAACAAAAAGATTAGAATGCATTTATATATAATAATTTCAATGTAAATTATGGACATTTTGTTTTTGTTTGTTTGTTTGTTTTTTTTTTTTTTTTGAGGCAAAACTCATTTTAATTTCCTATGCTTTATTGCATGTGCAATTTACCCTATGATAATTGAAAATTAACATATAATTTCTTATATCTTGACATGTATTTTACATTTATTGTTAATTTATACAGAATATCTAAATGTGCACAATTTACAAATTATGAGAGGTATGTATTGTGGGGGTCCAAAATGAACAGTAAATAATGATAATACTTAGAGAGGCAAAACTATTCTAACGAGCCAATAATCTAGGATAACTGGAGAGTAAGTAGCCAGGTAAGGGTGGAGTAAGTGGTTTCAATAAAGAATGTGGTAGTGCACAAATGGACAGCAAATCATCCCAAATCCCAAGAAGTTCTCTTTTGGATTTTGGAAAATGAGTTCTATTTATAGGCTTTTTCTTGGTACCAGAATATACCAAGTGGCCAAATAGTGCAGTGACACATGTCATAGGATATTCGATTCTAAACCACTAGGTTTTAGTAGACACATGGCCCTTGACATGTTAGTTGAGTATTGTGTTGATACTCGTACGGGGAGTCTAGGTGCTCAATTGTCCTCTTTTATGCTTATCGCCAGATGAATGTGGAAAATATTGGTGTTCACTAGCCCTGTCATATTATGAAATGGCAAATGTTTGGCACAAGTCTTAACATGTACCTTTTGGTGCGAATTTCAACGGGTATCGTCTTGGCATAGTCCGCAAGAGGCACATCTGTTTTGGTGGCATTCTTCGCAATGGTACTCGTGATGGCATCTGCCCTCTCAATTCGTGTCATGGCCCAAACCCGCCCCTATAGGTTTAGCGTCGTAATTGGCCAGTGATCTTGGGATTACCAAAGGCCTCTAAGTAAATAAAGGGTTGTTTGGGATGTGCTATATAAGTGCACTTTTTGACTTTTTAACTAAAAAAGTAGAGAAAAAAATATGTATGTTTGGGATAACTTTTTGACTTTTTATAAAAAAAAATTACGTAATAAAATATTATAGATGCATAGTACACTAACCAAGTTGTTGACTTTTGGGGTGTGCATGAATTTTTTTTTTAATGGGAATTTATGGCTTGGGATGTGTCGCATCTTCTCGCTTTGCTAAATATATGTGCAAAGTACACTAACTGAACTTGTCGGATATAAAAATTAAAAAAAATAGCTTCCCCACACCCTTATAGTATAGATTTTTTGACTTTTTTTAGTAACTTTTTGACTTTTTAACTTTTATAATAGATCCCAAACAAGCACTAAATAAAATACAGGGACTAGCGAAAGCAAATACAAACATATAACGTCCATAGAGCTGTGTAGACATACATGGAACAAAAATTTTAAACTTTAATTACATAAACGTGACATCATATAAGTAACAGTCTTACGTCACTTCATTTATAGATAACCAAAATGGAACTTAGCCCAACATACAAATAAAACAAAAGAAAACTTAAACGAAATTCTGGATCACAAAACATCGACCACAAGCAAGTTTCGGAACCTCCATGGGAGGCACTGTGGTTGACTGGACAAAACTGACCTCCAGGCAACAGCTTAGGCTTGGTCACGCGCCTAATCACCTACATACATAAATAACATAGTGAGCTGGAGCCTAGTGAATAACACCAGAGTAAAGGTTTTATGAATGATGTCCAAATAATTTCAGAAATCAGAATTCATATCAGAAACAGATTCAGATTCATATACTCATCAGGAATCATAAACAATTATATGTGGCACATCCATTAACCATCATATCATCTTGGTCTTGGGACCCATATGCATAGCCGGCACCGACGACCCCAAAGGTCCATATCTTGTACACAAGTAGCCATGGTATTGTTTCCCTTAAGCAAGGGCCATGTATAAACCACGGTATTGTTTCCCCCAAGTAAGGGCCATATGATCATAAGCCATGATATTGTTTCCCCCAAGATAGGGCCATATAAACATATGTTACAGTATTGTTTCCCCCGGGCAAGGGCCATGTAAACTAAGGATGCCACAAATAATACATTTCAAAAAATTGGACATTCATTCAATATTCATAAAATAACATTTCATAAACAGATCATATCTTTTCATTTTGAAAATACTTATAGTCAAACATAGCTTTACAGAGTTGTTACTCACAGATAATTTCGATAGTCGAATGGACAGAACAGACAGATCGGATAGTCTATGACGCGTGACCTACACAAACACATAACAACACACATTGAAACATATGCCCGGAAAGCACATAACTCATTTCGTTTCATCTTGGTGTGTTTTTAATCTTTATCCTTATTATTATGTCTTGATTAAGGCTTAGGAATGCCTAGGATGCAATGAGCATGCCAAAATATAGCTTGAAACACTTAGTCAAATTTTCAAAAATAGAGCAGTCTACTCGAGCGCAACGTTTGTTGCTTGAGCGGTCTGCAAAGTCTGCAAAAGTACTGATTGCATGATTTTTCCGCTCGACGAACGCTCGATGGTTGCTCAAGCCAAAGACTGAGTAAACAGGGTCCTCGCTCGAGTGCAACTTTGGTCGCTTGAGCGGTCTGCAAAGTTCTGTAAAACTTCT